GGGCCTGCCGAGGACGGTGAAGCGGGCCTGCCAGCGGCGGAGGCGCCGGCGGGTGCCGAGCCGCCGACTGCGCTTGCCGCGGTGGCGGCGGCGGTTCAGCCAGTCACCGCCGCCGCCGCCGCCGTCGTACCGCCTGCCATCGACGCAGCGCTCCTTCTCGCCCCCGCACTCACTGCTGCCAGCCAAGTCCGCACCCCACAGCACTTGGAAATCCTCTCACTGCTCCTCGCCGCGGGCGCTGACCCACGGGTCGGCCACAGCGAGTCGCTTGCTCAAGCCGCCGCCGCCGGCAGCTTGGCCGCCGTACGACTCCTCCTTCGCGCGGGCGCCGACCCACGGGCCGGCGGCTGCCGACCGCTCATCTCTGCTGCTGAAGTCCTGCGCGCACGAATCGTCGCGACGCTTCTCGCCACTAGGGCTTACTCGGCCAGCGACCTGGCGGCAGTAGCACGGGTGTTGCTGGTGCCGCCTGTGGTATCAAGCTGCGCCTCCATGGCCGCGATGCTGCTGCCCTGGCTGGCGTTGGCGTCGGTCCTGCTGACGGCGTCGGCGCCGCTGGTGTTCAGTTGCGTGCTGCTGTCTCTCTGGAATGGGCTGTGGGTTGTGTCGGCGCTGTCAGTGATGGGGTACGGCCTAGGGCTGGCACTGGCGGCGGCGGCGGTGGCGCTGGCGGCAGGCATGGCGTTGGCAACTTGGGCCACGTCAGCGGGGCTGCTGCTGCAGTTCCTGTTTCGTGCGGTGTTGCGGCGGAGCGCGATGGACGGGGCGACGGCGGTGGCAGCGGCTGCCGCCGCAGCGGCTGCTGCGCAGCCGACTCGGGCGCTGCATTAGGATGTGTAGGATTGAGGACGGAATCATTGTTAGGTGGGTTGCGTTGGGAGGAAGGTAGGAAAGCGGATGGAGTGTCGACTTGGCCGACGGGGTAGCAGCGGCAGCGCGGCGACTGCGCGTTGCCAACCATATGAGATGATTTTCTGTGTTTGTAGTAAATTGCAGTTGCGAGTTTTGGTTGGAGTTGGATTCGGTTCGGTTCTTTTGGATTACCGGTAATCTTATGTTTCGGGCTTCGACTGGGAGTTGCAGCTGCATGCTCATAATCAGTAGCCGCAGATGAGTGTGATGGTTTTGGAGGCCTGAATTGCGCAGGCGAGACCTGGAGGAGCTTTGGAAGTTCGTTGGGATAGGGGTAGGGGTAGGCGTGCAGACGTAGACATACAACCTCTGTCCGCAAGTGGACTCCCTGGCAGTGCAGGAGCGGCTCAAGCTCCTTGACGAGGCACCAACAGTTGAGCGGAAGGAGTTGAAAGACGGCTTGCAACAGGGGGTGGGGTGCGCCACATTGGGTGTCAAACCGCGGCTTGTTGGGTGCGCGGTGTGCATAGGGAGCCCGCGGATGTGGGGGGGGGGTTGTTGCTTTGCACGTCTTGAGTTTCTTTGGCCAAACTCTCATGCTCATTGGAGTATCGCACAAGGGAAGTAAGCAGCACCCCGTGTTGTAGCTGTATTGTTGTGGAGTGCCATGTCAGGATGCAACTGCAGCAGGGAAGCATGCTGATTATTAGGTCGCTGCAGTCCTCGACTCGTCGTATGATAGTTGGTTGTGCAGCGGGTCAGCTTTATGAACAGTCTTTGCCGTACATGCTTGTTGTACACGTTGACTGAAGCTCTGCTTTGGAGTTCTGATTTGAACGCTACCACACAGAAAATGACCACCATGCATGCATGCATGTGCGCATTGGGCTTATATGCGCCATCTGTAAGCCACCCACGGACTTCCTTGGGATAGCAGAAGTACTCGGGAAAAGAAGGATATCCACTGTGTTGTGTGACGGGGGTAGCATGGATATGGCACCCACCGTTGCTTTCGGTTAGCTCTTCGGTTGTATTGATACGTACATGGGTTGAAAACTTGATACATGGCTCGGTAGTTTCTGTTCTTAGACCTTCGATGCTTCCTGGTACATCGTTGCATGTTAGGCTGTGAACCTGGGTGGTATGTGCCGCCGCTGGAGTGAAGTTTGAAGTTCTGCTGCTTGTTGCTATAGCCCGCGAGCGTGTGCGTGAAAAGAATTCCTTTGCCTGCATTGAGTACGGCAGTCTATACGGTAGAGTACATGGCAGCGTATGTGTTATATGCATTTGTGAGGCAGGTGTGCAGGAGGCCATGAGTGCGCGTGCACGGTTGTTACTGTTGAAGTGCCTGTGCCTTTCCATGCCGGGTACGAGGCATAGATAGGACTGTTAGCGTGTTGCATGCATGCATGTGTGTAGGTATGCCCGGTTGCCTGGGTGTAACAGGAGGTGCATGCAAAGCTCTGATCGGATCCGTATACTGTATCATACGAGATCTGTACAGCATTCAGCAACACCTCCTCCTCGGCAGCAGCATCACTCATGCGGCTCCTTGAACAGGGCGGTCGGCGATGTACCTCCCGTAATCATGGCAAGCACCATGACATCAAGAGATCAGGAAAGCTAACAAAGACAACTCTTGGCAAGCAACCCAATTGTTGGGGAATATGCCGTACAGCATACCCGTGTTGACCTAAAAGCAACAGCTACGTATAAGGATACAACACATGCATGGGGCAGCCCGGTGCTGTCCAGACTTTTATATGTCGCGGCGGTAGGCTTTTATTCTATTCCCCTAGACCTCCTCATGCAACGAAACGGTCCGCCCCGGCCTGAGGCCCAACCTAGATGAGCATGCTTGGTCGTACAACACATGCTTGGTCGTACAACACATGCTTGGTCGTACAACACATGCTTGGTCGTACAACACATGCTTGGTCGTACAACACATGCTGGGGTACCTTTCACGCCTTCCGTCGGTTATCGGTTACGATCAGGCGTTCAGCAGGTTGCTTTGCCGGCATGTATCTGTGACGTCATCCTCTCATCATCGTATGTCTCTTCCGCTACATGGGATTTACGAACCACCACCCGCTACCAACTACCAACCATCACCAACAAAACTACCCCTGAACTGCCGACCAACCGTTCAACTATTGTCGTAATTATCGTATCGAGTGGCCGCTCTACATCGCCACACTTGAAAGACAGCCACGAGTGCTGTCCACAACACCACAAGACCTACTGGAACGCCATAGACCCCTCATGACACCGTGGGGCAATCCGTGATTCCGCACCGTCCACGACCCCTGTGCCGTACATCCACCCCAACCCCTACCTTGCTGCCACTAATCTCCACCTGTCAATCCATACCTACCCACACAGGACCTGTTCCCCACGTCCTTACCGTGCCCGATTCCTCGCATTCGCAGCTCAGCCTCCACAACAATGCATCGACACAATGCGCGGAACAATACTGTCGCCCAGCCAGCCAGCAAGCCAGCAAGCCAGCAAGCCGACCTGCTCCGTCTCACATATGCTGCTAGTCACACGGGGCCTGTTGCGGCAGCTCCCGCAACTCCTGCAGTTACTGCGGCACTCGTGGGGTGACATGCAGCAGCAGCCCCTTCTCCCCGGGCTTGAGAGTGATGAGCTGGCGGGCTGCGGATACGGCGCCTGAGTGCGGGAGGAGAGGAGGGAAGAGGGAGGAGGGAAAAGGGAAGCGGGAGGAGGGAAGAGGGAGGGGGGAAGAGGGAGGGGAGGAAGGAGATGACGGGACGTTGCGCATGCCGTACTGCGGTCATCATTGTATAGTGGTAACAGCAAGCTCCCAGCCTGCGTTATTCAGTGCTACCAAGGAACCCCCATGCAACAAGGAACCTCCATGCATCCTCCAGCATCGTACAACACGGGCTCGTGTCACCCCCTGCCGGCTGCCCCCAACTCACCCTCCAGTCCGCCCATCTCGTCCGCCAGCCGGAACCTGGGGGGGAAAGAGGGAGAGGGGCGGGAGATGAGTGGAGGGGGCAGCAGCGGGGCAGGTAAGAGGAGGCGGAGAGGGAAGAGAAGAGAGAGGGGATGCAACTTGCAAGTCACCATGAAGGCCCCCGGGCTGCGCATCTCCTCTCCTCTCTCCCTCTCATCCTCCTTCCTCTCTTCCCCTCCCCCTCCCCTCAGAGCTTGTCAGCTAGTTTACCACTATCACACCACACATTGGAATTTCTTTTCCCCCTCCCCCCCCACCTGAACCTGCCGCATGCCAGCGCCAGTGCCGTCCTCAGCTCCAGCAGCGCCAGCGACTGACCCACGCAGCTGCGGGGGCCCTCGCTGAAGGGAAGCCAGCCGCGGGCCTAAGGGAGGGGGGGTTGAGGGGGGCGGGCGGGGGGCGGAGGAGCGGAATCATGGAGGAAAGGAATGGAGGAGAGGGATGCGGGGTGAGGATGAGGGGTGAGGGTTAGGAGAGAGAAGGGAGAGGCGGCTTCCCTTACCCTTACCCCAGCCCACGTACCGTCTGTGTGCCGGCCGCCTTCACCACCTCGTCCACCTCCGCCGCCACCGCCGCCGCCGCAGCAGCTGCCGGCGGCGCGCCTGAGGCGCTGTCAGCGGTGGCAGCAGTGGCGGTGGCGGCGGGTGGCTGCTGCAGCCACCGCTCGGGTCGGAAGGCGGCTGCGTCCGGGCCCCACACGCGGGTGCTTCGCTGCAGCGCGTAGAAGGGAATCTGGGCGGCACGGGAGGAGGCAGGGGGGGAGGGTTGGAAAAGGTATAGGGGAGGTTACCGTATTCGCATCACGCTGCTCATGTTGGTTCTCACCCACAGCATGGTGCCCCGCGGGATGAGGTGGCCCGCCAGTCGGGTGTCGCGAGAAACATTCCTGCGCGCGGGGAGGGGGCGGGGAGGACGGTGTGGGAGTACGGCACGAAATAGGGGAAGTCAGTCAGTGCATGGCATGACAAAAGATGAAGTTCATAGGCAGCCCCACCCCTGCAAGCACCCGCCCACCGCCCACCTGGCCGTTCCCCCACTAGCGGGCGGCATGAGCCTGAGCGCCTCCTGGATGACCGCGTTGAGGAAGCGCAGGGCGCCCAGGTCGGACCAGGCCAGGGGGCGGGGCGGGGGGGCGCCGGGGGCGGCCAGCAGACCCAGGCAGGCCAGCTCGGAGGCAATGCGCGACTCAACCTGGTGGGGAGGAAGGTGGTGGGATAGAATACATTATATTATATGTATTTTAGCTTAGCGCTTCTGTGCATCAGCTGGTATAGCTCAGTTGGATAGAGCACCCGTTTAGTAAGCGGGAGGTCTCCAGTTCGAATCTGGATACCAGCAGCACTTTTGCTTTTTCTCATCATAAAATCCATATTAACATGGAGTTTACAGCGTTCTCTGCTGCTGGCAGGATTGCCGTGATGAGGCACGAACGTCTTGACAGGACTGTTCAATCAACATGTGGGGCGACGCTTGTCGGGACCACAGGTGAAGACCACCATGGTTGGGTGGGGCCGAACCACGGGGCATTCGGTACGCATTAACCCCTCCCCCCCCCCTACCGGTACCTCTGGCAGTGCTGCGATGTACATGAGCGTCCAGCTGATGGCGTGCGCAGTGGTCTCGAAGCCCGCGATCCAGAACAGCGCAGTCTCGCACCGCAGCCGCCGGGGGGAGAGCGGCTTGCCCGTGTCCGGGTCCGTGACCCCCGCCAGGTGCGCCAGCAGGCAGTGCGGGGCGGGCGGGCGCTGCGACAGGTCGGCCAGCGCGGCGCGAACCAGCGAGTCGTAGCGGGAGCGGGCGGACCGCAGGGATCGGGCCTCCTGCGGGGGGGGGGGGAGCCGGGGGGGGGGGGGGTAAAAATAAGGAAAACTGACGAACTGAAAGACGGGGCTTCTCCATGGGTTGCTAATTGAACCGGGAGGGGGGGGCCGTCGGGCAGCAGAGCGGGTGGGGTACCGTTCATGGTCGTTGGTTCACTTATATATTTTCCCCCCGAGTGGAGGAGGGATTGGGTATTTAGGTTACAGGGTATGGTTGGACTGCTGGGGCCCCGATACACCTGTAACCCCTTCCTTCCTCCTCCCCTCCTCACCTGTCGCCAGGGGAACCAGCGGTTGAGCGGGTTCATCATGCGCTGCAGCGCCGTCATCAGCTCGCCCACCACCTGCAGCGCCGTGTTGGGTCCGAAGCCGGTGGCTCCGAAGTCCCGATCGAACGCGAACCGGCCTGCATGCGAGAAGGGGGAGGGACCGGGGCAAACTGGCTCGAGAAAGCACGACCCCCTAAGACCCCGCTCCCCGCTCCATGCCTCTCACAGCCTCCCTCACCCTTGCTCCCGCCCCACCACCCCACCACCCCACCAATCACATCCACCGTCAGCCTCTGCGTCGCCGCATCCGCATCCAGCGGCAGCCCGCTGGGGGCCGCCTGCTGCCAGTGAGACAGCACGCGCTCCGTCAGGGACACCAGCACCGGGAAGAACTGCCTGGGGGGTACAGAGGAAACAACTAACTGACTGAGGGATAAGGCGTCAACATGGGTTGCAACATGTGAGCCAGCCCGACCCGCCCAGCCCGAATTAGCTAAGTCAGTACTAACTGCCTGAGGGGGGAGGAGCAGGAAGGAGGAGGGGGTGCTACTTGCATGGGGATTTGTGTATCGGCTAATACTCCCTACGGTGCTGGATGTAGGTTCTCCCTTCCATCTTTACTTTGCATCCCATGCATTCCAGGCCCGTCCCCCGCCCCCGTCCCCGCCCCCCTCCAATCGCCTTACTTGAGGTTTGCGGTGCTGAATGCCGGCGTGACGGCCCTGCGGATGGCTCGGTAGTAGGGGCCCATGGGCTCGGTGAGCATGTTGGGGTGGGCGTCCAGGGTGAGCTGAGAGGGGGCGGGGGGGGGAGGGGCGGAAGTCGGAGAAGGACCGAGGGGGGCGGGGTTGGTGAGGAGGGGAGGACACATGGATGGTCGGTTGGGTAGCAGGTATTGTACGACATACATCCCTGTCCCGTACCTTTTCCATGTTGGAGTACGACTTGGTAAACTTCTCAAACCGCTCCACCTTCAGGACCTGGGCAATGGCCTCTGGGTCGGTTAGGACAACCGCCTGAGGGGGGCCAAGGGGGAAGGGGGAGGGGTGAGGGGTAAGAAGGGGCTACTGCTGTGCAAGCGCTTGCTAGCACTACAAGGCTGCAACAGCACTTTACACTGCAGCGGTTGGTTGCGGCGGTTGGTTTGCCACCACGGGAATGGCAAGCAGTCGACAGTTTCTTAAGGAACAGGCGCTTACCGGAGTCGCTGGCAACTCCATGCGAAATACACTGCCGTACTGCTCCACCCACTCCGCCATCTTTATTTGGATCGGCGAACGAATGAGGTCGGGAACGTTGCCGACCAGGAAGGCCCCGGGCGGCCCCGGTAGGCTCCTCCTCAGCTTGCGTCGAAGCGGCCATGCCTTAATGTGAGGCCAGAAGATGATGTAGAAGAGGTAGGCTAGCGGCGCCACCGTTAGCGCGAGGAGCGCATAGGTAGTGATGCCCGAAGCAAGCAACATCCCGAGTTGCTTAATGAAGCCTCGCGTTGGTGTGGTTTGTTGGATGGTTGGTTAAGAACTATGATAACCTTTGTATAGATTTAACTTGATACGAGGGTGGTTTGTTGGGCTGGCTCGAAACAACGCAGTTGCAGATCAGCAAGCAGCGAGTCGCGTCGGGCCAGGCAACTGTAGTTGGAAATCGGCCTTTGCCTGACAAGCTAAACCTTTACCATGAAGACATTACCTTGTACTATTTGCGGTAATAAGCGGTGTGCTTGTCGGTTGGTTTACAGCCATCTGATGGCTAATAAACTGCCATGTACCATGCGTCATAAATCGGCCACGTGGCGTATCAGATACGCAAGGAACTTCGCCGCCGAAGTTGATGCAAAAATACTGCTTTACCCTGCAAACGCCTCGTGTGCTAAGCGCGGACGTAGATCACCAAGGTCTCCGCGTCGGAAGGCAAATCGTCGTCAAAGTCTGCGTTGTGTGCGGCGCGCCGCCACGCACCTCACCCCACCCCCACGAAGAGGCGTCCGGGAACGGCGCGGACTAACCATGTCTGTCCCGACGGGTCCGTGGCTGGTCAGGGATTTAACTTAACACATGTGTGACTGTAACCAAACCCTTCAGCTTCGCAGATACGAGGGCTCGCCCCCACCAAATAAACATGTGTTCCGAAGGCAGCGACTTGCTGACATTGCAACGAAGGGCTGGGGTTATGAATGGAGATGAAGTATGTGGTTTGCTGGAGGCGAGCTGGAGGCGTGCGCTACGGTAGATGCGATTCATTAGTGGACGGTGTTACTGCACCATCCAGTGGGTGTTGCGCTAAGACGAACGCCCCATAAAGTGGCGAGCCAGCCCCCCGAAAGAGGACGCCCTCTGGCCGTCACCGATCGATCAATTGCTTCTTACGAGATGAACAGGCAGGCGTGTCGGCGACAGGGTTGCTACTCGCTAAGCAAGGTACCGGTAGCGGTGTCTCCTTGCCGGCATGCATGGGTGATGGACTGTTACAGGGGTCCACGGCACGTATGTATGCATGCAAACATGGACGGTAACGGGGCATGCTCGCACACAACCAAGGGGCAATGGCGACTCGTTCACCACAAGAGTGCACTCGGTGCACTCGGTGTAATTGTGCGCGGTCTGCTGGCCTCCCTCCTCGCCGTGCAACAGTAGCTTGTTATGAGCTTCACAAACATGCTTCACAAACATGCTGCATGTACATGAACAGGTGCTCAGCCACCTACAGCCAGATACTAGCAGCATCTTGATTCTTCCCCGCTGCAGTCCCGATCCATGAAGCCCCTCAAAACCAACAGTTCGTACACTGCCGTGTTACCCTTATCGTACATTGTGAATCACCCGGACGTGTATTTGCTAGCAGCTCATCAGCACACACATTATGCAATTGGGCTGTTCCGTCAGGCAGGGCCCTGCCGAGCTAGGACTCGAAGCTGCTAGGACTCGGAGCAGCAACAGCAGCAGCAGAAGAAGCAGCAGAAGCAACAGCAGCAGCAGCTCCTGCAACTCCTGCAGTTACTGCGGCACTCGTGGGGTGACATGCAGCAGCAGCCCCTTGTCACCGGGCTGCAGGGTGAGGTGCTGTACGGCAGCAGCCTCCGTAGCTGGGAGGGTTAGGGGGAGGAAGGGGGGGGAGGGGGGGCCGGACACCGGAGGGTGTTTTAAAAGAACTGGCCGCGAGGCGAAACGTTCTGTGATTGCCGAAAGGACAATCACAGTGTGTCTGTGTGTGGGGGGGGATAGCCGAGGTAGGTGGAGTAGCGAGCGGGGGGAAGGCGTGGGGGGAACATGTATGGGGAAAGGGTTAAGCCGCAGCTCATTGCGCTTGCTTGCGTCAAATGCAGATTCACTCTGCGTTACATGCAGTTCGTACCCAGTACGATAGTAGCTGGCCGAACTCCCCCTCTTTCCCCTGATACCCCTGACCCCTCTTCCCCCTAATCCCCGGCTCACCCTGCAGGCCGCCCATCTCCTCTGCAAGACGGAACCTGGGGGTGGGGCAGAGCGGCAGGGGTGTGTGTGTGTGGAGCGGAAGGAAAGGGAAGGTGGGGTGACAAGGGAACCGACCGCGATGACCATGCAACACTCCCCCCTGTGTTTTTCAATGGTGTGGTATGGGCTTTCCCCTCCCCCCCCACCTGAACCTGCCGCATGCCAGCGCCAGTGCCGTCCTCAGCTCCAGCAGCGCCAGCGACTGACCCACGCAGCTGCGGGGGCCCTCGCTGAAGGGAAGCCAGCCGCGGGCCTAAGGGAGGAAGGAGGGGACAGGGGTGGAGGGGAGAGGGGGGGAGGGGGCGGTGGGGAAGGCCAAGAGCGGCAGCAAGGTGGAGAAAGACCCCGTGCGTGCGGCAACGCCTCTTGCGTTGTGCGCGACAAGCAGGCAGGCAGGCGTCCTGCCGGAAGGCGGCAGCGGGAGCAGCGGGGGAGGTTCCATGCTTCGCCCCGTTGCCCTGTCCACACGTACCGCCTGTATGCCGGCAGCTGCCCCGTCCACCTCCGCTCCTGCTGGGGCCGCCTGCTCAGCCGGGCCTGCAGGCGCCATGTGCTCGGAGGAGGAGGATGCGGAGCCCTTGGCGGCAGCAGGCACCTCCGCTGCTGCTGCCGCTGGTGCGGAGGGGTGGGAGGCGGTGGCAGCGCTGTCAGCGGTGGCAGCAGTGGCGGTGGCGGCGGGTGGCTGCTGCAGCCACCGCTCGGGTCGGAAGGCGGCTGCGTCCGGGCCCCACACGCGGGTGCTTCGCTGCAGCGCGTAAAAGGGAATCTGGGCGGCAGAGGGGGAGGGTTGGAGGGGGAGGGTGTGGGGTTGTTGAAAGGGGCTCAACGCGTGTTCATCAGGCTGCTCCGTGTTTGAAATCGCCAAACACACACAACCCGGACATACCGTACGGCTCCTCCTGACTTCCCTGCCCCCCCCCCCGCCTTTCGCCGCCCCCCTCTCACCCACAGCATGGTGCCCCGCGGGATGAGGTGGCCCGCCAGCCGGGTGTCGCGAGGAACACTCCTGCGCGCGGGGAGGGGGCGGGGAGGAGGGCAGGGGGGCAGGGGGGGCAGGGGGAGGGGGGTGGGAGTACGGCAAGCCATGTACTTGCAGGAAGATAGGTAGGTAGGCAAGTAGTTACAAACGGGTCCAAGCACGCGGCTAAGCACACACATGCGTGTGTTTCGCCTCGCGGCCAGTTATTTGAACACATGCGTGTTAGCTGCACCTGCCTGCACGTCCACCCGCCCCTCACCCCCCACCCCATGTATCCAGCCGCCCCTCCCCCCCCACCTCATGGTCCCTCCGCTGACCGGCGGCATGAGCCTGAGCGCCTCCTGGATGACCGCGTTGAGGTAGCGCAGGGCGCCCAGGTCGGACCAGGCCAGGGGGCGGGGCGGGGGAGCGCCGGGGGCGGCCAGCAGACCCAGGCAGGCCAGCTCGGAGGCAATGCGCGACTCAACCTGGTGGGGGGAGGGGAGGGGAGGGGGGTGGGTTGGAGTAAAACCAAAGCAAAGGATAGCAACGGGTGTGGGGGAAGGGTGGGGTTGCTAGGCCACTACTGCTTAGGCAGCATGCCCCCCTAAATCTTCTTTTACTTCAAGGGGCAGGTCACACCAATCTACGAGGCGGCCCTCATCCATGCAACAGGGCCAATCCCACTTCTTCAAATGCAATACTTCTTCCCCTCCCTCCCCCCACCCTACCTCTGGCAGCGCTGCGATGTACATGAGCGTCCAGCTGATGGCGTGCGCAGTGGTCTCGAAGCCCGCGATCCAGAACAGCGCAGTCTCGCACCGCAGCCGCCGGGGGGAGAGCGGCTTGCCCGTGTCCGGGTCCGTGACCCCCGCCAGGTGCGCCAGCAGGCAGTGCGGGGCGGGCGGGCGCTGCGACAGGTCGGCCAGCGCGGCGCGAACCAGCGAGTCGTAGCGGGAGCGGGCGGACCGAAGGGAGCGGGCCTCCTGCGGGGGGGGGGAGCCGGGGGGTCAAAGACCATATCAAACCATAGGAGACCACAAGTTAGGGCAAAACAATGGGGGTAGGAGTTGGCTGGGTGCCACAAGACAAAGGGTGAGCCGGGGGGGGGCGTCGGACAGAGAATGATGAAAGCATAGGAAACCACAGGTTGGGGCAAAGCAAAGGGAATAGGAGGCAAGCGGGGGAATGGGAGGGGTGTCCCAGTCACCCCACACACACGCACGTTCCGCCTCGCGGCCAGTTATTTTAACACACGCACCAGTCACGACACAACCCTGCCCCCCAGCCCCCACCGCATACACACACACGCACGCACCTGGCGCCAGGGGAACCAGTGGTTAAGGGGATTCATCAGGCACTGCAGCGCCGTCATCAGCTGCCGTACCACCTGCGTGTGCATGCAAGGCGGCATACACATGTGTGTTGGGGGGTGGGGGGGGAGTCTCGTAGCGGAATAGGTAGAATCACATCAGGGCGTGGTTACTGGTAGCACACGGTACATGGTATCATGAAACAAGCAAAGATACAGCAAAGGAGGGAAGTCCCCTTCGTGGAAAGAAGGGAAGCTCTCTTGCGCCCTTCGCAACCAACTTCCGCTACCGGTGCGCGAACTGCCCAACGCAACACGCACACCGCGCGCATGGACGATGGGCACCGTGAAGCGGACCGGCTTTACGGTAGCTGTAGTTTCACGCAGTCCCCCCTGCCCCCGCCCCCCCCCCACCACACACCCCACCACACCCACACCTTGCCCTGCCCTACCCTGCCCCACCTGCAGCGCCGTGTTGGGTCCGAAGCCGGTGGCTCCGAAGTCACGATCGAACGCGAACCGGCCTGCATGCGAGAAGGGGGAGGGACCGGGGCGAACTGGCTCGAGAAAGCACGACCCCCTAAGACACCGCTCCCCGCTCCATGCCTCTCACAGCCTCCCTCACCCTTGCCCCCTCCCTCCTCCCCCCCCCCACCAATCACATCCACCGTCAGCCGCTGCGCCGCCGCATCCGCATCCAGCGGCAGCCCGCTGGGGGCCGCCTGCTGCCAGTGAGACAGCACGCGCTCCGTCAGGGACACCAACACCGGGAAGAACTGCCTGGGGGGGAGGAGCAGGAAGGAGGAGGGGGTGCTACTTGCATGGGGAATTGTGTATCGGCATGGAGACTTGTGTATCGGCTAATACTCCCTACGGTGCTGGATGTAGGTTCTCCCCTCCATCTTTCCTTTGCATCCCATGCATTCCAGGCCAGTCGCCTTACTTGAGGTTTGCGGTGCTGAATGCCGGCGTGACGGCCCTGCGGATGGCTCGGTAGTAGGGGCCCATGGGCTCAGTGAGCATGTTGGGATGGTCGTCCAGGGTGAGCTGGGGGGGGGGGGAGAGGACGAAGGGGTACGTAGGGTATACTGGTAACGTGTAGGACAGCAGCAGGGCATGTAGTGGTGTACGACACGGTGTTTGAACGGTGTTGTACCTTTGACATGATGGGGACCGCACATCCCGCCGTACCTTTTGCATGTTTGAGTACGACTGGGCAAACTTATCAAACCGCTCCACTTTGAGCGCCTGGTCGATGGCCTCGGGGTCGGTTAGGACAACCGCCTGAGAGGGGGCCAAGGGGGAGGAAGGAGAGAAAGAGGGTGTGGAGCAGGGGAGGTGCGGGCAGGGGGTGAATGGGAGGCAACAGCAGCCCCCTTCCTTATGCTGTCCGCTGCAGCCGCCACAGATCAGATGGGGATGGGTTCAGCAGGGGCAGCAGTGCAAAGAGTTGGGCCGAGATTTGGCATGAGAGGACATGAACACGGGAAGGGAGCGACCCATGGGTCAGTGGAGCACCTAAGGCATCAACAACCTCGCACATGCATCTCGCTGTACGGCGAAGATCTGTACTATACAGTACAGTATCTGTAGTACAGCAAGCACAGCATCACTTACTTAACCGAGCAGTTGGCCCTGCTGTCGTTACTGATGAGTCATCACCCTCTCTACGGTTTCTCTCTCAATGATTTCCGCTTAGCGCCGTAACGCTTACCACTGCTCCAGGCAGCTCCAGTCTGAATGCCTCGCCGTACCGCTCCACCCACTCGGCCATCGTCAGGTGTAGCGGCGACCGAACCAGGTCTGGTGCGTTGCCCAGAAAGAAGACCCCGGGCGGCCCCGGTAGGCTCCGCCTCAGCTTGCGTCGAAGCGGCCATGTCTGGATGAAGGGCCAGAGGATGGTGTAGAAGAGGTAAGCTAGCGGCGCCAGCGTTAGCACAAGGAGCGCATAGGTATGGATGCTAGCAGCAGCTGCTGCAGCTGAAGACGCCATGGTCGAAGGAAGCAGCAGCATCTGGATGCCGTGCGACTACTATAGCGGAATCGGTTACCGCCGCTGGTAGGTAGGTAAGATTGATGTGCTGATGATGATTACTGATGCTCCAAGGTTGTGTTTGGGATTCAGCAACAGTGTATGTGCTGAGGGGTAAACTTGTGGGGCTATGTGCATGCAAGGTGTGCATTTAAGTGCCGCGTGCCAGCATCTTTGCAGCGTGTGGCAGCAGAAGCCAGGGAAGGCACCGGCCTGGGGCGGCGGTTGCTGACACATGTACGACTCAGCAGCGCTTGCTCACCTGCCCGTGTTAGAGGTCAGGACGCTAGGTTATTTGCTAAGTAATTAGCTAGCCTTGCAAGGGTAAGGTTTTGTGCAAGTTGTTTCCGAACTATTTCAGCGACGGAGGGACAGACATAGGCACCCGTTCGGACCTGTGGACCCAATTAGGCAACAAACGTTCGAATTTGCCGCCGTAGATTTAGTGCCTGAACCTTGTCCTCGCCTTTTGCTGCAACGGTGCAACATAAGTGCCCGATGTCATTTTTGTTTCTCTCCTGGCTGGGTAAAGCCGTCACGGGGCCCGTGCGCAGCCATGCGCTGAAGAATTCGGAAAATCCCGAGTTACCAGTGCGCTGTTCGGTATGATGTTCAGGTTTGGTCTTCTGGGACTGCTGCGGCCAGTTTTCTTAACAAGCGGCCAGTTTTCTTAACACACGGATGCTAAACAGCTATTACATACCGTATGCTTCACGTGCGCTACACTTGATAAAACTGCCGAGGCCTGTGCCTCGAACCTACCGTCGCTACAGCCTGCCTCTGAATGAGAAATGTGCGGCAGCGCGCCAGCGGAGGATAGCAGCACACTCGCCCACACTTCACCGCACATAGAAGCATCCGCCGGTCACAGCGCACGCACACAGGCAGCATCGCAGGTGCTCCCGGGGACAGGTAAAAGAGAGGTGCACAGCAGGGGCACAGTTGTGGGTAGATACCACATACCAGGCTGCCGCAAACAATGAACCAAACCAGCCATGAATATGATCAATGACGCACTATTCACAGCTACTGCGGCCATACCGGTACCTGAGTAGCCAGCGGCGGATGATCGCAAATCGCAAAATAACATGGCAACTATCAATTCACGGCGCCGTAACACGCGTGAATCACACACAATTTGTTAGTTCTGCAAGAGTGAGATGCTCCAGGAAAGGCATGTGCCCATAACACACAGGATGACAACGCAGCGGATCAGCCCCCCTACCGTCCAACCGTTCTCTCCACATGCAGATACCCACACCTTCTCCCCCCCTCCTCCCCTTCATCACCCCCGCCCCCCTCCAACCCCGCCATCGGGTCTCCCAGCTCCTCCGCCGCCGCCCGCCACACCACATCATCCAGCCCCGCCAGCAACCTGCCGTACTCGTACAACGGCATGTCGTGCCGTACGGCATCCGCCTCTAGCTCCCGAAGTACGGCAGGTGCGGGTAGCAGGTGCGCCAGCGGCCCTCCAAACACCCCCTCCTCCTCTTCCTCCTCTTCACCCCGGCTGCTACCAATACCGCCGCTGTTGGCTCCCTCAATGCCTGCCTGGATGGCACTACCGCCGCTACCGATATTGCTGCTGTCAGTGCTGATACTGCTACTATTAGTGCCGCTGCCGCTGCCGCTGCTACTGTCATCCTCCCCCTCCTCCTGCTTCCCCCCTCCCTGTACCATCTTGGAGGTGTTCCGGGAGTGGAATGCTGCCAGGGGGGCCGACCAGCCCAGACCCCAGCGACTGGAGCGGTCCACAGCAGCAGAGGGGGACTGGCGGGGAAGGGGGGGGGGGAAGAGGGGGGGAGGAAGAGGAAACAACTAACTGACTGAGGGATAAGGCGTCACAAGAGGGGAGCCAATCCATTGTAAGGGGAAGAGCACACGTGAGGGCATTCGGGGTATTGGTGACAGGAGGCGGTGGCGGGTTGCTTGGGTGAAGGCCGCCGGCGGGCGGTCCGCACCTGGGGGCCGCCCCGTCAGCCCATCTGGGAGGTCAACCCAGAGCTGCTCTCTCCGCCCTCTCGCTCTCACCCTCTTCCCGCTTCTTCTCCTCCACCTCCCCCTCCAGTTCCCCCCCAACCTGCGGTTTCCTGTGGTTCGGTACGGTCTTTGACCCCCTCACTCACAGCCTCCACTTCCCTCCCTCCCTCCCTCCCCCACCCCCACCCCTGCCTCACCTCAAGCACCAGTATCACATCGTACTGCGCCAGCATGGTCCTCGCCAGGGCTAGGTAGGGCGACTCCGCCCGCCCTTCTCCCCCTCCCTCTTCCCCCGCTCCTCCTCCCCCTCCTTCCTCCTGCCCTCCCCCTCCCGCCAGGCTGCCCGGCGGCAGTGCGAACACGCCCTCCCCCCCCAACGAGCGCACCAGGTAGTTGTCGAACAGCGGGGGAGCCAGGCGGCGCCACCAGCGGGCGGCAGGGGAGGAGGAGGGGGCCGAGGGGGAGGGGAGCGAGGAGGAGTTGCGTGGGGAGGGGGAGGACGGGGGGGAGGAGGAGCGCGGGGAGGGGGAGAAGAAGGAGAAGAGCCATGCGGTGAACGAGGAGGAGGACGAGGAAGGGGATGAGGAGGGTAAGGATGGGGGCGAGGAGGGGGGCAAGGAGGGGGCCGAGGAGGAGGAGGGGGAGGAGGCGATGTGACCCGGTGCGAAGGCCGCAGCCAGGCTGGCGGGCTCGTAGAGCTGGGAGTAGGTGGCGGCCAGGAAGAGCAAGTGGGAGCGCAGCCGCTGGGTGGGGTGACGCAGCACGATAAGGTTGGCGAAGCGGCGGCACACGTGCGCCCCTCGCAACACTGCAGAGTAGCTGAGGGGACTGCTGCTGCTGCTGCTGGCGAAGCCGCCCTCGCCGCCTTGGTTGCTCTCCTGGTTGCTGCTCCTGCTGTGTCTGCTGCCGCTACTGCCGCCAGCATCATCCCCCGCACCCCCACCCCCACCCCCCCCAGTCCGACTCCCAGCCGCCCCCTCCCTGCCAGCCGCTGTGAGCCGTTGGACGAAGGCGGGGTAGCTCCCAGCCGCCGCGGCGGTGGCAGCGGCGCGCCAGGCGGCCTCGGAGTTTGGCAGCGGCTGCTGCTGACCTTGGTTCTGACCGCCCCTCACGACGCCCTTCCCCTGCTGCTGCCCCTGCTGCTGCTGTGGCGGCAGCGGCTGGAGCGCTGGTGCCGGCCCCCCTCCCAGGCTGTGGCGAGTGACGTTACTCAGCACCAGGTCGTTGTATACCGTGTACTGCAGCGGGGGGGGGGCCGCGAGGGAATGTGGCGGGGGGGAGGGAGGGGGCAGGGGGTGATGTGTATGGGGGGAGGAGGGCAGCAGCGACCACCAGCAGCAGCAGCAGCAGCAGCGGCGGCGGCGGCAGATTAGGATAGCGAGTCTATAAACGCCGAGTATAAGTAAGCCTATCATTAAAATCCAAACCACCCATTGGGAACACTGCCGTACAGACGACTGCTACGTACGTTGTCGTACCTCATTTGCGAAAAAGTCCAGCTTGTGTTTGCGCAGCAGCTTCATCCTTGCCGTACATGTACGGAGATCCGTAGCGGCGCGAGGCAGGCCGTACAATAGGAAGGCACTGCATGTCGTAGATAAGCACACATACACACACAGCCAGCTGAGCTTGGTCAGCCAGCCGGGTTTCAAACGCCCACGCCACAGCTTGCCGCTCGCCCATTACGTTCCAGCTTTCATCAGTGCTCGCCTTACTCGACATTGCAACTTCAGCACGTAAATTGGGTCGTTGCTTCGCTAAGGTATGTGTGCGTTGCGGCGTGTTAGTTGGCACTCGCATTATCCAAGACCATCCTCGAGACGCGGGCGACATGGACCGGAGCTCGGCTGCCAAGTTCGCGTCGCTAGTCACCCCGTGTTCGCGGCGTGCGTTTTGGAGCGTTTTGGAGCTTGATCCCCACCTTCACTCCACCAGTGGTACCCTCGGAGCTCCAGGCGCTCTGGGCGGCTTCCTCTTCCAAGTGGCAACTGCAGTTATCCGACCGCACGGCCCTCTCCATGTCGCTTCTGGGTTCTACGCGCCAGCGCTGGGCGGCTTGGTGGCCCCTCCGTGGCGTCGCGTCACTTCACTGGGTTCTTCGCGGTCAGTCTACGGTAACATCCGCACATAGTGGTCTTGCACTTGCTTTGCCTGTCTTGTTTTGCTCGCGCATGCACTGCGACGTCTCGGCATGCTCCCCTGTTTTGCTACCTGTTCAGCAGCAGTTCCAGCCTATCTACCTACCTACTTTACTCGATATTGTCAGCTACTACATACTCTCAACTTACTACTACGGGCCTTCGGTCCGGTCGCTTTACGAGAGTGCTTCTTACGTCCTACTTACTCTCAGCACCAGTATTGGACTTCTATATGTACATACGCTACCCTATTCCTCGGCTCCTGCGGCGGTTCTGTGGGGACTTCATCTTCCGACATCCCAGTATGTTCCTACTCGCGGCCAGTTATTTTAACACACACACACGCTCGGCCAGGTTTCACTTCACTTCACCTGTGGCGTTACGGTGGGAGGACTTCATCTTTCGGCAATCACAGTACGTTTCGCCTCGCGGCCAGTTATTTTTTCACACACGCACGCGGCCATGTTTCTTAACACACGCACGCACTCACATGTGCCCACACACACGTACACATGCGCTCCCCTCTCCAAGCTCATTGTCAGTTGCTTTGCTGCCAGTTGCTAGTTGCCGCACGCGCATACGTCCTAACCCGCCTGCCCTCCCACCCACCCCCATCTGCGTGTGTCTAGGATAATGTCTCCGAATGCACTCACTGCATGAGTCGGGATATGGGATTGGGACTCTAGTTGTTTGCATTTATTATATAATTTTTTTAATCCCCCCCCTCTGAACCCCACCTAGGTTGCCCGCCGCTCTTGCTCTGCGCCACCCCCGCCAGCTCGCCCCAGTGGTGCGAGCCGTTCAGCCAGCGCGGCTGGTCTCCGAACTGGCGCAGCAGGCAGGTGCGCCCCGAACCGAAGTCCAGTGCGCGACAGCCGGATGCCTCTGGGAGGGGCGCGGGGAGGGGCGCGGGGAGGGGGACGGGGGGGAGGGAGAGGGAGGGTAAAGAGGAAACAGCTAACTGACCGTGTGATAAGGCATCATCATGGTTTGCAACATGTGAGCCAGCCCGACCCGTCCCTACCAGAGGGAGGGAGGGGAGGGGGCGGGTAATGAGGATGGAGGAGTCCAGATTTGGCTGGATATAGGATTAGTAGGTACAGAAATGCTGTGTTGGGGTAGGGCAGTTGCAGCAAGGGCAAAGTACAAACCGTACTAGGGCTCCATTGGCTGGCGGCTGAAGGGAGGGAGCGGGCAAAGATAGACCGAAACACAAGTGAGGGCACGCACAAGGGTATAGGAGGCGACAGGAGGCCCCTGGGAAAGGGGGGGAGGAACCCAAGGGGTGGGGAGGAGAGGGAGGGGAGGGGCAAGGAGGAGGCTTTTAAGGCAAAAGGTTGAGAGGAGCTTGGAGCGGAAACAGGGAGTGCGGGCGCAGGGCCCTTCCTCGCCCCGGACCTCGCCCACGGGTCTCATGGCGCCTGCGTGTCACATGGTTCGTTTAGTTCCTCCTCTTTACTTCCACCCCTCTCCCCCCCCCTCCCACCTGCCAAGCGACACATGCTTGTGCCCGCTGCCTTGCTCACGTGCATCAGCTCCAGCACCCCGCGAGCAGCCATGCCGCCGCGGTGGAGATGGAACAACTGGTTCCCGGGAGGGGGGAGGAGAGAAGGGGAAGAAAGGAGGGCGGGAAACCAACCCGGGTGTTGCTACGTCTTGTGATGCGTCATGGGGGGGAACCGGGGGGAGTGGCACCACAACCCGGCTGACACGTGATATCTTCCTCCTGCATGTCCCCCGTACGAGTAACAGCGTGCCGAAACCCAACCCAAAACACACGACACGCTCCCGGCACCCCGTCACTCCCCCCCCCGCCGCAACAACAACAACGAACCTCCAAACCCCCCCCCCCCACACACACATACACCACTCGCGGCCAACCTACTTAACAGCCGCACCTGCAGCAGCACTCCCGCCATCTTTTCCCGGACCTTTGAACCCCAGCTGCTGCTGCTCCTTCTACTGTTCAGGCTGCTACCGCTCTTGCTGCGGTGGCTGCTACTTCCACTGCTACGGCTGCTGCTGCTACTTCTACTGCCACTGTCGCGGCTGCTAACATCATCATCAGCGCCACCACCCAGCTGGTGTTGTGTCTGCTGATGCTGCGGCGGCTGCAGCGGCGGGGGACAGCGCGCGAGGTGCCCCAACCACAGCCGGGCCAGGCGAGCCACGCAGACGCGACGCAGGAGGGGAAAGCTGTGGGAAGGGCCCTTGCTGGCAGGGGGGTGGCTGCTGCTGCTGCTGCTAGTGGTACTTGGTCGTTTGGTGCTGCTGCCTCTGCCTCCGCTGTTGCTGCTGCTAATGCTGCCGGGGTCTAGTCCGCTCGCCAGTGCCGCTATTGCGTCCTGCGATGCATGGGTCATGCAATAATGAAGATCCTTGTAAGGCACGGGAGGAGGAAGGGAAGGGTCCGCATCCCTGGAGGATGTGCAGCTACGCACAGCCGGTACACTGCAAAGGCTGTGCCGTACAAGCCGCATTCCGCGCTGCGGCAGCCACCCACCCTCAGGTCGTCCAGGTATTGCAAGATCCGGGACTGATTCTCAGATTCCGACGCCTCAGCTGCGGCGGGGAGCGGTTGAGATAGAACAGCAGTCAGCGGAGCCGCGGCGGGCTCCGTCAATTCGTACAGCCGCGAGAGGTTCAGCGCGGAGCGAGCTGACGTGAGCGACACCACCGATTCTAGCTTTGCCGCAGCATGTGCAAAGTTGGTTGAGGAGAGACCATCCGCGGCATTTTGTTGGTCGCGCGCTTGCACGCCCGGATGACCGACGTCTGGTAGCAGTACCGGTCGTAGCAATGATTCGAACAAGCTATCGATGTAGGAAGAATTAAGCGCGCCAGCGACAAAGCACGCAGGGCAGCCCAGTAGAAGCAAGACTGTCCATTGCGCGAAATTCATATTACAGTCATGGCGACTAATCACACGCCTTTCCAACCCAATGCATCTTAGCATCATAGGTATCCTTGCATATACGTGGGATCACCCATGGGGTTAATTTCCCTTTGAAGATATTAGTCGTCGCTCGCGACCCAAGGGTGCAGACCGACCGTAGGAAGCCCTGGCATTGCTACTAGTAATAATTAACACGCATCTCTCACGTGTATAGTGTTCTTCCTACAGCATTGCAGTTTGCACGGCGTACTCGGGTCGTCCGGTGTCCGGTCGCTTCTCGTCCGGCAACCCATGCAAAGAATTTGCCCAAAAGCTTGGCTAACCCACAGCTTTGTACTCCTTGTATGTACAAGCTTATACACCGTATTGCAGGTCTTTGCACATGACGTGAACACATAGTTAGCAATCCTATAAATTTTGCACCTCGGAGTACTTTGCATTTAAGGCAAGTCCTGTCAGCATGTTTTATGGGATATATGCTATTTGTTGACCCAGACAACATGCTTTACATCGTTAGTGGACCAGCTGTTCCGTGCGGTTGGAAGCTCGGCAATTGTCAGCCCTACAGTGCTCCAATTGCTTCCAGAAATAAAGCCCATCACACATATACCAGCCTCGTTGCTGCAAATTGACTCACAGTGCTCTTCCGGGCGCACTGCTGCCACGTCCTCAAGCTTCATATTTCCGGGACGAAGCTCTGCCATTTCAGCCCCTCGCCCACCTTGACCGCCGCAGGATGGCTCCACGTCGCCTTCTCTTTTGTCTAGACGAGTCTAAACAGAGCGTGCGCGCTCTGGAGTGGACCCTGCTGCACCTACGTCGGGCATCCGATGAGCTCCACCTCGTTACCGTCCTGCCTCCTCTCGCATACAACGTCTACCCCGTCGCCCCAGTTGCCACCGGCGCAGCTGTGGCGGCGGTCACGCACCAATGGGACGCGCAACGACGCGCCGAGGAGCACCAAGCAGCAGGCAAGTGCGGCAGCACTCAGAGCTGCTGTTGTCAGCCGCTCCTAGCTCCTCCCCCTAGCGTTTCCTCCCCCTAGCGTTTCCTCCCCCTAGCGTTTCCTCCCCCTAGCGTTTCCTCCTTCTGCTCGCTGTCTGTCCCAAGGATGAGTCCTGTTCTCAGGGAGGTGCCCACTGGTGCCCTACCTTGGTACTTCCCCCGGCTGTAGCCATGCTGGAATGCTGGGGGTTGGTGCACCTTTGGTGCAGGCGTGGGGGTGTGTGGGCTGCCAAGGCCCCTAACGCCAGGGCGTCATGGAACCCTTCATCCCTCACACACAACTCCCACCCCAACTCCCTCAATACACGCACGCACGCACACACCCCTTGCGTCCCCCCACCCACCCACCCACCCCCCCAGAGGTGCTCCGGGCCGCGGTGGATCTGGTGTGCACGCAGCATAACAAGGTGGGGGTGGGGGAAGGAGACCATACCGAACCATAGGAAGCCACAGGTTGGGGCAAGACAATGGGGATAGGTGGGGGATACGAAGCGTTGGGGCACGCCCCTCCGAAACAGCATGCAGTTAGGGGATGTGTGCAACGTCCACAGGCCCGTGATGCGATGACGAAAGTGGGCACATTGTGCCAGCTGGGAGGAGCGCGGCATCTTCCCCCGGTTACATCCCCCCGGTCGGTAGGGGCGGCGCAAACGTACCCTGTTCGCGCCCCCAGCCCCCACCCCACCCACCCTCCCGCCAGCATGCGTCCGCATATCCCCCCATGTTCCCCCTCATGTTTCCCCCCCCCCCTGTCCCCCCCCATGTGCCCCCCCAGGTTCCCCGGGACCTGGTGCACACACAGGCGCTGCCTGCCGCGGGGGGCGCCTCGGGTGTTGCGGAGAGCCTGGTGGAGTATGCGCGGGTGCAGCGCATCGACTTGGCGGTGGTGGGGTGCAGGTGGGTTGGCTGAGACCGAGTGTTTAAACCAGGAAGAGCGAAAATGAAACCAGAAAGGTTGAAATATAGGGAATGAGGCGGCAGGGATGGACAAGGCAGATGGGGGACGGAGGGGGCCAGGAAAGTGGGGCAATCCAGCTGAGCCCGGAGGTGGGGAGGAAAGAGGGCGGGTGACAACTGACAAGCGGGGCTTTGGGGAGCCAGCTGGTGTGTGACCCATGGGTCCAGCAGCTGGTGCGGGGCTGTCGGGGTGGTCCCCCGTTGTCGCGGTCGTGCCTCCTCACACTACATACGGTACGCGGCCACATGGTGACTTGCAGCCGGTTTCCGAAACACACACACACCACTCACAGTACGTTTCGCCTCGCGGCCAGTTATTTTAGCACACACACCTTCCGACATCCCAGTACGTTCCTACTCGCGGCAGTTTTCTTAACCCACACCCCTGTGTGGGCCGTGCTAGGGGCATCCGGGCCCAGGACGCGGGTTGGGCGGGTGGGTGGGGCTGCACCGGTGGGGGAGGGGAACACGCCGTGCGGGGCTGCTTGGACGCTTGTACCCCCCCGTGCACCTGTCCTTGCCCTCCCTCCCTCCCACTCGCCCGCACCTTGTGCTGCTGCTGCTACTGGGATGCTGCTGCTGCTGCTACTGGGCTGCTGCTGCTGCTGCTGCCACGTTGGTGCTGCTGTTGCGGTGCTGTGGCTGCTGTCCGACCCGCAGGGGCATGGGCGCGTTGCAAAGGCAAGTGGAGGAAGTGGACTGGGCTGCGGAGGGGACCAGATGGTGGTGGTGGTGGGGGGGGTGTGGCTAGCCATGATGGATTTACCGCTGTTTCTTGCGAGGAGGGGCGTGCCGTATATTAGGTGTGCTTTGTTGGGCTTGGGTTTAGAGGCAGGCATGCAAGGCGATGTGGCACGGGCGATGAACCTGGGTTATGAGCCCGGACGACCACCGACCCATGGGTCTGTTTACACACTTCTCCGCCCTCTCACTTCTCTCCCCCCTCCCTACTACACTACAACGTATATGCTAGTCGCAGTTCAGTTCACTTTGTGGTGGTTAGTAACCCTGTATATACTCGAACCCCTCCTCCCTTCCCCTTCCCGCCTTATCTACACCCCCTCCCCTCCCCCCCCTCCTATCCACACCCCCTCCCCTCCCTCCCCAGATCCCTCATGTCGTTCATGGGTCTGGGCAGCGTGAGCGACCACTGCTGCCACCACATGCCCTGCCCCACGCTGGTGGTGCGGGGGGAGGAGGCGGTGCTGGCCAGGGGAGTCATGCAGGTGTGCAGGGGGGGGGAGGGTGAGGGAGGAGGGGCGTTTCTCGCAGGCTCACTGCTGATGGTGGCATCCTGGCCCTTTCCGCTCCCGCCCCGTTCCCTCACTTTCCCCACTCCGCGCCCCTCCCTCCCCCCCTCTCCTCCTCAGGCTGACGAGGCGCACCCGCCGCAGTCGGCCCCGGTGAGCCGGGCTGGGTTCCTGAGGGGCCCTGTGTGGTGGAAGGGGAGGGGTGGGAAGGGGAGGGGAAGGGAAGGGGGGGGGAAGGGAAGGGGGGGGTGGGGGCTACCCCCGGGGGTGATCGGCCCGATGGGTGATGGGCGCAGAGGGCAGGTGGCAACAGAGCCCCGTAGCAAGCACCTCGCCTCTCCCGTCTCTCATCCCACTCCCTCCCCTCCGCTATCATCACCTAACGCATGGGGTTTCTTCGTTTTCCCTCCCTCCCTCCTCCCTTTTCAAGTACCGGTAACCTATACTTTTTCGAGTTATCTCCCCTTACACCCCCCCCCACACACACACCTCCCCCACCTCCCCCCTTTGCAGCCCAAGCGCGTGTTGGTGTGCTGTGACGACTCGCCGCACGCGCACGCCGCCTTGCTGTGGGCGCTGGACAGCTGCCTGCTGCCGCACGACCACCTGGTGCTGGCGGGGGTGGCGGCGCCGGTGCCGTTCCCGGTGGGTCGGGTTGGGGGAGGGGAGGGGAGGGAAGAGGGGTAAACACAAGGGAACTGACGTGGGTGGTGGGTGGTGGGGGGGAACAGAAGCATGCATGTGAACGAGGGGGGGTAAGAAGAAGGTACGTGCAAAACACAAGGGCTGAAGCTGAGGCAGGCATGGTGGCTTAGGCGCGCGGTGCCAGGCGCAGTGCTATGCCCGACCAAAACAAATGATGAAAACAACACGGCATTCCTCTCCCTCCCCCCTCCCCCCTCCCCCCTCCCCCCTCCCCCCTCCCCCCTCCCCCCTCCCCCCTCCCCCCTCCCCCCTCCCCCCTCCCCCCTCCCCCCTCCCCCCTCCCCCCTCCCCCCTCCCCCCTCCCCCCTCCCCCCTCCCCCCTCCCCCCTCCCCCTCCCCCCTCCCCCCTCCCCCCTCCCCCCTCCCCCCTCCCCCCTCCCCCCTCCCCCCTCCCCCCTCCCCCCTCCCCCCTCCCCCCTCCCCCCTCCCCCCTCCCCCCTCCCCCCTCCCCCCTCCCCCCTCCCCCCTCCCCCCTCCCCCCTCCCCCCTCCCCCCTCCCCCCTCCCCCCTCCCCCCTCCCCCCTCCCCCCTCCCGCCTCAGCTACTGGACGAGCAAGCCACGGTGGCTGCCGTACAGTCCGCCCAGTACCGCGAGACGGCGGAGGCCGCCACCGCCGCCGCTCGCGATGTGGTGGATCGCTGCGCCGCAGCTGCGCAACGCCGCGGGGTGGGCAAGACCAAGATCAGCACTGCCGTACTGCCCCCCGGGGGTTCCGCTGGGGATGTGGGTGCGGCGCTGTGCAAGCATGCGAAGAGCGAGGGGGTGGATTTGATGGTGTTGGGGAGCCGCGGCATGGGCGCGATCGCGAGGTCGTTGTTGGGGCTGGTGGGAATGGGCAGTGTGAGCGACCATGCGGCGCACAACTCGCCGTGTCCGGTGCTGGTGGTGCGGGGGGTGGCCGGCGGGGGGGAGGGGGTGGAGGGGCTGAGGATGGGGGAGGGCGGGGGGGAGGGGCCGGCGATCCTGGCTCCCATGGGGACCACGTTGAGGCCGATTACGGAGGGGGATGGCAGTGAGGCGAGCAGCCTGCAGTGAGGAGGGGGAGGAGGAGGAGGAGGGGGAGTGCGGCTCCTCTCCGCTGTGTCCTTTAAACTGGGGGGGCGGGGTCGGAGGGGGCGGTCGGGATAAGGGGGAGGAGGGGAATAAGGAGACAGCCATGAGCGAGGATGAGGCCTTGCAAGAGGCTGGAAGAGGAGATGGAGACGGAGGAGGAGGAGGAAAGGGAAGGAAGAGGGGGGGGAATAAAGGAAGAGTGAAGAAGCGAAGAAGATGGGGTCGGAGGGGGTGGCGGTGGTGGGCATGCCGTGAGGGGGAGCTCTGCTGGCAGGAGGAGGAGGGGGGCTCGGGGGCTGCAGTACCGGGAGTGCCGTAATTATGAAAGCGGCAGCACGCATATCTGCATGAAGAAAGATCGAGGCGTGTAGGTATACGGCATCACCTGTTGACTGTTGGGGGGAGGGTGCCACAATACCACAGCGGTATCAGAAAGGGAACAGCGGCGGCGGCGTGTTGAGGAACGAACGAGCTGTTGGATATCGCTGCGGTACGGCAGTGCAGTACGGCAGCAGCGCTCATCGGCGTCATGACGGTATCGCGTGACGAGGATGAAAGCAGTGCCCCCGGGGGGGGGGGTTGGACTACATGGGGGAGGTGTTTGGGTGGGGAAGGCGACAGGTAGGGAGGTTAGTGTGGCGGCTAGGAGGGTTAGGCGAGGACTTGGGGAGGATCGTCCCAGGGCCGCAACGATGCTGCTGTTGCTGTGAGCCTGGTTGTTGTTGTTGTTGTCGTCGTTGTTGCGGAGGAGTCCAAGCGAAGTCACAGAGAAGGGAGGTGGAGTTTGGGAGGTGTGCGTCGCGCCGCTTTCTTTGCCCTTGCGTACTTGTGCTTGCCCTGTGCGAGGTTTTTTTACGACGCTTTGCTACTGGTAAAAGAGAAATTTCGACTTGGGGCAACCCAGGCGCCTTTGTGTGACGAAGGTGCGGTCTGCAGCTAAGTAGCGTATTACTAGGTAGCGGTGTGCAGTTGAATAAGCCTTGCTATACCTGAGGTGCACACCCATGGAGTTGTAAGTCATGGATACCCTATCCGTGGAGTCTGCTGCTCGGTCGCTGGGTCGCTGCGGAGAACGGTACTTTGCGTGTTGTTTTGATGCCCTTGACGCCAAATAACATGTACCTAAGTACCGTTCTCCGTCAAGGGCACCAAAACAACACGCAAAGTCCTGGTGATACAGGGTGTTGCACGAGCGAGGCGGTAAGCGCGCATGCCCGCTCTCCGAAAGGCTAGGAAATAAAATGGTGCAACGGTGGCTGACTCTAACGCAATTAATGTTCGCAGTTAGGAAGATTGGAACCACACCTGACCACACGACCATATATTGGAACAGAGTGGCAGATGTCATGAATGTCTGCAATGCTTATGACCTGTGCCCGACAAAAATGTATTGATGAACGCTAGCTTGCTTGATGTTTCAGCAGATCGTACTCAACTAGAGCATTACTCAACCAAGGAGGTCGTGAACAGTGACATGAAAACTGAGTAACCTTAATGTTCAAATATGTGGAAATAATATTTCTTACTGAGTGATATCCCAATAGTAGGCGACGGTTCATCGCACGATTTGCAGGAGGAGCCAAGCTGGTATCGCGGGCCTGGAAGCCAGCTAGGAGATAACAACAATGTTGGATAGCTGTAGTTGATCACACAATGATTGCGTCGAGGGAGTTGTTTCACCTATGCCCTTCTTGGAGTGGGCTCGGAGCCGACAGCCAGGTGTGATCTGGCCCTACGGCCTTCACAGCACCGCATGTAGTCAAACTGGTTTTATCCTGTCAACAATTGGGCCCTACAAGGGTGTCGTTGGACTCGCCGCGGTGGATGTTGTCGAGCCACACAATCGCAAGGACCTCAAGCACCAGACCACCAAATTGGGTTATAAATATAATCAGTATGCACCAACGCCCATACCTTCCTCCAAATCTATTTTGTCAACTGCCTCCCCCTTTCCGGCTTCACCCTGCTCCTCCCCACAGTCGCAACATCTGCCTGCGAGCCCCGCCCCGGCTCCCAGGACGGCTTCCTCGCATCGCCACCCTCACCCTCTCCATCAACCACCCGGATCCCGGACGTCCTGCCGCATATGCGGCTGCTACCAGTGGCAGTGCGAACACCGCCATGGACTCGCCGCCCATTGCCATCACCACCACCACCACCACCGCCACCACCACCTGGGCTCCGTTACTGCCTCAGCCTTATTCGGAGACCACTCCGCACCTCACCACCCAGCAGCAGTTTCGGAAGCAGTCCTGGCAGGCGGGAGTGGGGAGCCGCAGGTGCAGCAGCAGCAGGAGGAGGAGCAGCAGCAGGTGGTGGAGAGGGGCGACGGCGGGCAGCGGCAGGAGCTGAAGGTACCGGTGCGGGGTCCTGCTGCCCTGTGCGAGTGCCGCAGCGCTGGTAAGGGCGAGGGCGATGTCGGCGCGGGCGACGTCAACACAGACGAGGTCAGGGCAGCGCAGGGTGGCGGGGGCCTAGAGCGCCCGCACCGGCAGCCAGAGCACCACCACCCGCACCAGCACCAGCACCAGCAGGGGTATGCTGGGCAGCAGCAGCAGCCGCACCAGCCGCCGCCGCCGCAGCAGCAGCAGCCGCCCTCGCTAGTGTCTGAGTCGCTCGAGCCCCACCATGCCTCAAGCGATCGTCAACCCACACCCCTGCGCGAATGGGACCCCGGACCACCTCCTCCTCCTGCTGCTGCTGTTCTTCCTGCTGCTGCTGCTGCTCCTCCTCCGTGGGGCGCACCAGGGCGCCACGGAGGAGAGCAGACCGGCGGCGGCTTGCGGCAGGAGGCATGGGCCCCGAACCAAACGAGTCAGGGTGATAGCGACAATGCCGGTGGCGGTGCCGGTGGTGGTCCAAACAACGCACATGTTTCGCAGCAGTCCTCAGCCCCGGTGCCGGCTGCTGCACACGGCTCGTGGTCCAGGCCGGGAAGGTTGTTCCGCTGGGCTCTGTGGCAGTGCAGGTGTGTGGCGGATTTGGAGGCCCTGCTCGAGCAGCAACAGCCGCCACCGCCCTCCCTGTTGCCTTATCATCATCACCAGCAGCAGCCGTCCCAGCCGCACCAGCAGCAGCACCCCGTGGCGGAACCCCACCACCACCACCACCCACAACAACAGCTTCCCCCACTCGAATCCCTCAGCAACGCCTCCCTGGCTTCCCTCGTCAGCCTCCTCCCGCGCCTGCCCGAAGCCTCCTCCCCCGGCGGTCGCCGCCTCATCCGCCACCTCCTCACCCGCCGCATCACCCCCCTGCTCATGTCCCGCAAACAGCGGCTCGACGGGCCGGGAGCGGCCATCATGGCGGGTGCGCTGGCGCAGCTGGGGCGCGACGTGACCGACCCACGGGACGGTCGCTGCTGCGATCTGACGGAGGTGCTGGCGGAGGCGGGTCTGGCGGCCTGCGAGCGGCCGCCGGAGGTGCTTTGGTGGGCGCAGCAACGGCGGGAGTGGCAGCGGAGGCAGCGGCGGGAGTGGCAGCGGAAGAACCGGCGGGTGGAGGAGGAGGGTGGTGGCGGTGGCGGTGCTGGTGGTGGTGGTGTTGGTGGCGGGGGGCAAGGGGAGGAGGAAGCCAGGGCTGTATCGTGGGGGGCAGAGGAGGGAGGATGGCTCCCGACGCTGTCCTCTCGGGGGCATGCAGTTGCAGAGGAAGGGGACAAGGAGGAGGCGGAGGAAGTGGAGGAAGTGGAGGAGGGGGAGGGGCACCGCAGCTCACTGGATGACATACAGCAGATACTCGCCTTTGGATCCGCCTCCGATGACACCTTCCAAACACCCCCACCCCCGCCACCCCCACAACCCCGAGGTCGGCACCCGGCCACGCCGCCAGGGCTGTACGGCCACAGTTCCAGATCGTACAGCACCCTTCTGTACGGCCTTGCCAAACTAGGCTACCGGCCTGCTGAGGCCTGGCTGGACCGCTATGTGTCGTACTCCCGTGGCTGGCTGTCCACCTTCCCGCCCCGTGATCTTGCAGCCACTGCCTGGGCCCTCGCGACCATGAAGTACCGACCTTCGGATGACTGGCTGGGGGCCTTGCTGGATGCATGGCCGGTGGAAGGGGCGTCATTCGCTGGCGGCGGCGGCGGCGGCGGCGGCGATGTCGTACACAGGCCGCCGCCGCGTGCCGACGGCCACTCGCTATCGCTGCTTTTATGGGCCCTATGGCGGCTGGGCGTGGCTGCGCCGGCGGACTGGCTTGACACGGTGCTGATGTCATGTGCATGCCCGACCGCCGCATGTCGTACGTTTCGTGGCATTAGCAGCGGAGGCGGAGGCGACGCCTTCACCGGCGCTTCCTGTCAGAGCCTTGCACTGGTGTCGTACTCGCTCGCGCGCATGCGCCACTCGCCGCCGCCGCTTGTGCGATCGGCGCTGCTGGCGGCGGCGGCTCCGCTGCTACAGCGGGGAAGCACGCAGGAGCTTGTGCTGCTGCTAGTTGGAGTGGCGCACTGGCCGCGGGATGAGGCATATCCCCCAGCTTCGTCACGTGCAACCGATACACTGCATCTAGAGCCAGTGCAGCAGCAGCACCCGCGGCAGCGTCCGGTGGTACCGGCAGCCTGGCTGCAGCATGCATGTATAGTGCTAGCGCCGCGGCTGCGAACGTGTACGGCACAAGCGCTTGTGCTGTCTCTGTCGTCGCTTGCGCACATGGGCTATCGACCTGATGAGTCCTGGCTGCGGGAGCATGAGGGGGCGCTGCAGCGGCAGCTGACAGTGGGGGCGCTGGGCGGCAGGGCGGCGGCGCGGCTGGCGGCGGCGTGGGTGCGGTTGCGATACTGTCCTAGCAAGAACTTGCTAAAGCGGTTGTTACGATTAATGGTTGGATCGGCGGAGGACAGTGCAGCGGCGGCGGCTGCTGCAGCGGAAGGCAGGCGGGTGGAATTGGGGCGGGAACGGATATCGGCACGGCTGTTTGCGGCAGGACTGTACGGCGTTGCAGTTCTAGTTGTAGCGAGGCAGGCCCTTCTCAATAGTGACGGCTACGATTACCATGATGTCTTTCCCAACGCTCAGACGCATCCCGCGGACCCAAGTACCTCGACCAATCCAATTCGTTTCGATCATCAAGCGAACGTCAACCGTCGTGCCTACTATGGTGATGACCCATGGGTCATCACCGGAACCTCCACCGGCACCACCCCTCTCGACGCGCTCCTCCCCTTTGTCCACCTCCGCTCCCTGCTCTCCGCCTCCCAAGCTCTGTTGCCGTACAGCTATCTCGACGAGATTCTGCAGCACCTCCGCGCTTGGCAGCACCTGCGGGTGCTCCCTCCACAGGGCTGGCTGGCGCAGCTTGCAGTAGCCGTCCGCGGCGCCAAACTGGCGGTTGCAACTCCCATTCAGTTGGTACGACTGTTACGATTGCTTGCCTGGCCCGGCTGGAGGCGACTGCGGGAACCTGACCTTGCTCCTTCCTTGCCGCTGAAATGTCATCCGGGCGGTAGCGGCGGCGCGGGTGGGGCATGGGATGGCGGAGGAGGTTTGCGGGTGAGTGCGGCGCTGTTAGGGGAGGTGGCGGAGAGGCTTCTGGCGGCATTGCCGGAGTTTGAAGCGGGGCTGCCGCCATCGCCGCTGCAGCAGCAACCGTCGTTGCCGTCGCGGCCACAGCAGCAGCCGCCGCCGCAGCTGTCTTACATGTCACGTCAGCAGCCGCCGCAGCTGCCGCTGGCGTTGCTGGCGGAGGCGATGGAGGCGCTCGCGGAGCTGCGGGTACGGCCCTCCAGGGCTTGGCTGCGGAGGGTGTTGGGCGTGGTGCGGGGCGGGCTGGTGGCGGCGGAGGCGGAGGCGAGGGATGCGGAGGTGGGGGCGGGGGCGGGTGAGGAGGAGCAGTACAGGGCGATGGGGACAGGGGGCTGCGAGGGAGTGGGTAGCGGGCGGATGGTCGGGTCGGGGACTGCAGGCGCGAACAGACCGGAAGCAGGAGCGGCGGCGGCGGCAGCAGCAGCAGCAGGAGCGGCAGTGACAGCGGCAGGAAGGAGGGGGGCGGAGGGGGGGGTGTTGGGGCATGGCAGTGGGGCTGCCATTGAGGGGGGGGTGTTGCCGGCGGAGGCTGTGTTTGGACGGCTGCTGGGGGCCTTGGCTCGTTTGGCAGGGGTGGCGGGGGACGGGGAGGTGCTGCGTGAGGCGGCGGTGCTGTCAGCGGTGTGCAGCAGCCGGATGGCGCTCGCGAACCGGCAGCATGAGGCTTAGGCTGCTGGTGGTGTTCACTATCGGGTAGGGATGCGTGCCGTACCGAGGACGGAAGCGATGAGGTGTACGACGTGGAATGGTCGGTACGGCAATGGTGTTGGATACGGCAGTGGAGGTCAGTACGGCAGTAGTGCGGTGGATGAGGTGGTTTGCACCTGCGGCCTAGATTGCCGCCGCCAAGGGATGAAGGGGTGCGTGGTGGCTTCTCAAGGGATGGCAGCGAAAGGAGCGGCGACGGGGGTCAAAGACCAAACCAAACCATAAGAAACCCCATGTTAGGGCAAAGCGGCGGCGGGGTTGGTGGTGGTGGTTGGGGGCAGGGCGTGGCATAGGGGCTTAGGGCTCTTGGTGTGGGGTTTGTTGGAGTGCAGCAAAGCCTTGCGGGTGCGCATACTTATCCGTTTGGAAACATCGGCTGCGTTACTAGTACGGCGAAGTACGAACTCAATCGCTATAGCTTGATGCCTGGTTTCTTGTCGTCTGTCGAGCCTGTTGAGAAGGGGTTTGGGGCGGGGCCCCATTACGCACCATCATGTCTAAAGAAGCAGGAGCTGACTGATTAGATACTGGTAGCATACAAAGGGTTGCTTATGTTCTGTATGTGGGAGGTAGTGTTTGGGAGGATGTGAGGGGATGGAAGCACCGCACAGCCTGCGCAAAGAGTGCAAGATTGGAAGGAGGGGCGTTTGAAGCTTAACCAGCGGCAAATGCGCCGGAATGTGGTCCGCGACCACCACCCCGAGCGGAACAACCTCGGAAGGCGGGGCCCACCGCGTTCGGTTGTTCGGAGGTCGCCCAGCGGATGCAGATCATGACCTGCAGTACTAATTGCTATTTGTTACAGCTTAAGTAAATATATTACTACTATTTCCAACTGCTAACCCCAACCACACGCTACATCCCTAAGCGGTCCCTACGCGTCCGTGCACTCCAGCCAGTAGGCTCCCAGGCCCCGACCATTTCCGCACGCCGTCACCCTAGCACCCCTCCTACAACCAAACACACGCCCAGCGCCGCGGACTGCACACACACCCTTGCGCCTTTTGCAAAGCCGCTGTGCAAAGCCGTGCGCCCGCAAAGGCCTCGCTTTCATAGGCGCCAGGCGGCCTTACCTCCCTGGAGACCACCACCACCACAACAAAGCTCTCCTAACGTCCCGAGTGACGAAAACTCGCGAGTATCCAGACCACACGAAATCACAGGCGCAATCCCCGCAAACGATCCCAAATAAACCCAGCAATCCCCGCAAGCCAGTTCGTTAAATCTCTCAAGGCGAGGCTGCAGCTTGCCGCACGGCTCCATCACGAACCACTCCGCCCATATGGCCCGTGTCGCAGGGCGCCTTTGGTAATCAGGCGAGCACAGCCTCTACTGCAGTGCCCAGGTGCTGAACCAAGCAGCGCCACTTGGGCGGCTGCTTTCATTATCACGTCATGTAAGAATGACGCGTAAGGAGAGACGTACGACGCGTAAGCAGATAGTTACGACAGCTCACCAACCAATATCCCTTTTATGGACGTTTCAAGTCTAAAGAAGCCAAGTCACAGGCGTGCCGGCTGAGGCGCCCTAAAGGATCCTATGCAAGATAACGCGCGCCTAAACAGGTAACCCAAAGTACCGGTACTAACGTGCGCGCGTGCCCCGTCTTGCCATGCGCGCCCCGTCAATGCAGGCATTGCGACATTGCGGCAATTGCACCAGGTACAAGCTCCCACTCCCACCCCACACGCACATGTAGCGGTTCCCCGTTTGTTCCCGCCTCCCAAGCTGGGGCCGCACGATCACACATGAAACAAGACTCCGCATGAGCCTTCTTCCTTAACTTCGAAGGCAACACGAAAAGGCCGTATCCTTTGGTCCACGTCACCCGCATCAATACCATGCGTGGCTTCACATTCACTCGTGCAACGTCACAGCGGTTCCTCGCTGCAAGGAAAGTGTTCCATGTCCATCGCACTCCGGGTGTCCTCAACGCCGTCTGCGCCCTACTTGTCCTACCAGAGTTGCTAACAGGGGGACCTCTGTTCAACGAACTGAGCCGTATCACTGCCACAGGAGGTTGAGGTGCGTGGGTGGAAGCAAAGCCACCAGCAGGCCATGCAAGCGTGTCACGATGCTCAACCCCAGCCGCAAAACCGTCCCATGACATATAATGACATATAGAGTTGCCTATGTCGCCCCTTTCCTAATCATTCTCCCCGCAAGATCCCCCAAACAATGAATAAAACGCGCCATGGTTCACCATTCACATCATGTCTGGCAGGGAAACACGCGTCGCCACATGCCTCCCAGGACACCGTGCCATGAATCCATTTGGTGAACACATTTGGGCCCCTGGGCTGCCATGCGGGTCGATACGCTAATCCGCGCGGGCATCAGCCCGCCATCACGGAACCATGGGTCGGTACCCCTGCGACAGCACGTCCGCCTGCTTGTTCAGCTCGCAGGCCTGCTGGCTGACGGCGCGGTAGAGGCTGCTGTAGCCGTTCAGGGTGCGCTCCCGCGAGCGCTTCATGGCCTCCATTCCGACCAGCCGCTTGGCCTCCACCATCTTGGCGGTGGCCTCGCGCTCTGCGCAGACACGGACGGATGCACAAACACACATGTCAGACACACGCATGCGGAGCCGGGGGTGGATAGCACTGGATTAGGACTTTAGGAGGGAGAAGGAACAACCGCTTTGGGTGAAGCCGGGTGCATGCATGCGGATGTGTTCCTCAGATGGCCTTGTTGCCAATACACCACAGCCCTGACATGAGTCGGGACAGGCGTGGAGCAAAGGAGCTGCAGTAGCCGGCAGGCAGCCAGCGGGACGTGCAGGACAGGACAAGGCAGGTCACGATAACCAGCAGGCGCAGGAGGTCCGCTCCCTAACAGTGCCGCTACCAGTACCGCTAATGCCCAACCTACCCATCATTTTGCCCAGCATGCCCCCTACCGTACCGTACGCCCTGGCCGCACCCGCGACCCACCCTGAATGATGCTGCGCAGCTGCTCCCAGCTGTCGTACAGGATATGCGAGTCGATGAAGTCCGCGTGGTACCAGTCGAAGTAGAGCTGCCAACTGTCCGGGTACTCCCGCAGCAGGTCCCTGGGTGCGCGGAGGGGGGGGGGGGGAGGGTAATTTGGAAACAGAATTCCCGGGTGGGTGGGGTGGGGGGAAAGTTATAGGTAAGTGCATCAACGGAGTCCCAATCCCAAATCCCGGGGGTAGGGGTTAATAGGGATGAAGGCTGGATTTTAGGATAGCGCATGGTCAAACTTGTTGGGTTTGTAGCAGCACACAAAGTACAAACCGTAATAAAGCTCCGATAATAAAGCTCCGGGGGTAGGGGGTGACAATAAGGATACTGCCAAGCGGTATGACGAGGGGGCTTCAACATGGGATGCTAAGTAAACCCGGCCCATTCCACCCCGGGGTGGTGGTGGTGGTGAATGGGTTAAACAGGTGGGGTCGGGGTGGGGGGTGTAGAGGTGAGGAGGGAAACGGGTGGATGGCATAGGGCAATTGAAGACAGGTGTAAAAGCTAGGCATGCGGTCATTTTGGATGGATGCATGGAGGCAGGTGCCGTCAGCTGGTAAGGGAGCTCGTGCCGTGATGCCGTCCGCACACCTCAGCACATGGGGGACAGCCCGACTCACATGCTGTTCAGACCCCCCCCCCCCGGACGCAACCGTATCATACGGTTAGCCTAGCTTCTTCCTCTTCCCCCCCCCCGCCTAGGGCTTGGTCTCATGTTGACCCCCACCCCCACCCCTCTTCGTCGGGATTTAGGATTGGGACTCTGTTGCTGCACTTATCTGTATACTTTCACCCCTCCCCTCTTCGCCCCACCTGCAGCGGAAGGCTATGCGGCTATCCTCCCCCCTCTTTGGAATTTCTTTTTCCCCCCTCTTCGCCCCACCTGCAGCAGAAGACCATGCGGCTATCGTCCAGCGACATGGTGAGGTTCTTGAAGAAGGCGGGGCTGGGCAGGATGAACACGGCGCCCGCGTTGAGGCCCTCGTACATTTTCATGACGGAGGTCTGGAGGGGGGAGCGGGGCGAGGGCGGGAAGATAAGGCGAACTGTAATACGAACTGTAATACGAGGGTCGAGGAGGGGAGAGGAGAGGGGGGCCAGGGGGGGAGAGGAGCAGGATGAAGGGAGGAATACGGGATGAAAAGACTAGTATAGGATTGCCGTGGGATCAAGAGGGGAGGGGCTGGGGGAATAAAGAGAAGAAGACGGTGAAGAGGGTTAGGTAAACAGGGCCGCGAACATGGCTTGAGGGAGAGGGAAGAGTACGGGATGCGGCAGGGGGCAGAGGAGAGGGGCCGGATGTTGGGTAAGCGAGGAGTGGGCCGGGCAGGCAGGGTTCCCGGAGGGGGGCCCCTCTGGGTCGGGCTGCAGGCCCCCAACAAGGCCCTTACCGCTCCCCCTCTTCACCCCCCACCCCCACCCACATGGCACCGGGCTTCCGGCTCCCTGCCACCTCCTCCCCCCACCTCCTCACCCAGCACAACAACCGCCTGGCACCCCATCTGGGTCGGACACCAGGCCCCTGTCAGGGGCTACCATGCACCTGCCGACCAACCACGCGCCCCTCCCAGCCGTCCCGATTGTTGCTTTCTTCCCCCTCCCCCTCCCCCTGCCCCACCCATGATGCCACCCATGGCGGAGCATACATGCCACACGGCTATTACTCAGTCCCCTCTCCTCTCTACCCTACCTGAGACGAACGACTCACGACCCGTTTCCCTACTTGGGTTTCTTCTTATTTTCCCTACCTCCCTCCTCACCCTCCCTTCCCTCCCCCCCCCGCCCAGCTGCCGCCCCGCTGCTGCCGCCTCCTATCCCCATTGTTTTGCCCCGACCCGTGGTCTCCCATGGTCAACCCATGGTTGGGTATGGCCTCTGACGCCCCCCCCGCCCCCTACCTGGTACGGCACCGTGATGACGCCGCGGTGGTGTGCCAGTACGGTTGGCCCGCCGTAGTGCTGCCTGTACAGCCGCACGTAGTTGTCCAGGTTGTTGGAGCGGATCCACGGCGCGATGAAGGTGTTCTCCAGGTGCGTGGGGCCGCTGGGCTGCACCAGCGCCACGCGGGGGCGGTCGAGGTTCTCCAGGGAGGGGGGCGGCAGCATACACACGCCCACGGGGCGCAGCATGAGCAGCCGGTCTTGGGGCAGCTTCACGCCGCGTCTGGTGGGGGGGAGGAGGAGGGGAGGAGGAGGGGAGGAGGAGGGGAGGAGGAGGGGAGGAGGAGGGGAGGAGGAGGGGAGGAGGAGGGGAGGAGGAGGGAAATGTGAGTGAGTAAGTGGAGCGATGGAAATCCCATGCCCATGTCATTTAGGGGAGGAGGTGGGGGGGGGAACCGAGCCTTGACCACAAAGAGGAAACCCAGATCGTACACGCATCTACATGAGTGCAACACAAGGCGTGTTCACATGCGGGTACGTCCGTGCAAACAACCGATGTAGCATTGTGGGGCCGGCTCAGTGGAACGCACTGTGATTGCCTGCGTGTGTGTTGCTTCACTTACTTGGTGATATATAGCTCCTCGTAGGGGTTGTTGACCACCCACCAGATGTTGGGTCTGGTGGCGGCATCCTTCATGATGGTCATGTAAGCATCTTGGTCGGACGGGGTTATGCCGTAGTCGAAGCGGTTCGTCACCTGCGTAGCAAAAGAGACACATACTTGTTTAATCTGTAACAACACAGTTAAGCTACATTATACATTACATTATAAGCTACTGTGCTTACGTACAACGGAGCTGTAACAACTACTACACACACACACACACACACACACACACACACACACTCGGCCTCTTTTCGGTGGGAGGACTCCATCTTTCGGCAATCACAGTACGTTTCGCCTCGCGGCCAGTTATTTTAACACACTCTCATCCCCGGCCTGTGCTCTCCTCCATGCCTACTTCGCCCCCGTCACCGTATTCCCATTGCTGTTTGCGGGCCGTGTGCACTCATGAACCCATGCACTCCCCCGCGCGCTCATGGAGGCCAGCGCACAACGACACGACACGACACGACACAGGGGGCTGCTTCAGGACCAGGAGCAACAACCCTACGCCACGCAGCTGTCTCATTCCCCATAAGCGGGACCAGATCTTTCTATCAGTACACGAAACGAATAAGCATGGCAAAGCGCGCCGCCTCGTCATCGCCAACGACGCACACAAGCCTTGGGTTGACAGATGTCATTGCAATTTCCGTACAATGCCCGCTATTACACGAACCTGCAAGATGAGGGGTGTCGTACAGCCGCCTTGCAGCAGCGGACGGGAGTCCGGGATTGTGTCGCTAAACACGATAATGTCTGCAACGTGGCACAGCAGATGCCCCATGTCTTGCCATATCTTGTTGGACATGGTAGTGTTGACACCATAGCCGGGTTGGTACCTGCATCCAAGGAAATTAGTGGGTGAGCACCGGGGTTTAGAGGCTGTGACACAGGATACTTATGTTAGGGTTGTTTGTGGTGGAAGGACATGTTTGTAGAGGGCGGAGCGTCTGACTGGTTTGACAGCAACGGTCTGCAACCATAGCTAACCGTAGATTCAGCTTACAATCCTTGGTTAACTCGTGTCCAAGGAGCTCCCAAGTGGGTGGACACGGCAATCCAGTCCCATAGCGTCCCGCTGTGACGGGTGAAGTAGGCGATGCGCAAGGGATGCCCAAGCCGACAAGCAAGGCTGCAAAAAAACCCAGATCAGGCATGTAAGTATAGCGCTTAGGCATAAGCCGCAGTGTCCGAATTCCCTTGCCTTATGTCTGGGCGTGGGCTAAAATGTACCCAATCTTCCACAGCCCCATACATCAACCGTAAGGCCGTTTCATTGAAATCCGCATGTGCGTATAGTAATAAAATGCAAAACGCAAAGGCCCTTAGGACGCTGGTCTGCATAACAGGCCAACGCTACTAAAGAAGAGCAACCTTCAAAGCAGTAGATCTAGCTATGTATATGGACAAGCGTTTGCCAGAAAACTAATGCTGCAATGCAACTATAGGCCCAAAGGGCCTTCCCTACATGGCGCCCGACCTCGGAAGCTCGTCCCACCATGTGCCACCGACTGCCTGCAATCTTTTTCTTCCCTTCCTCTTTCAAGTGTTACAAGTGTTGTAAACATTACACCTTCACGTATACTATAAGTATCATTCAGTCTCATTTCGGCTTTTAAGCAATTTGGTTGCAGGGACAGTGTTGCACTTGAGGCACTTAACGCGGTCTAGAGATCATGTAGGAGTCCCTAGGTGGCTCAGCTTGATCCTGATACAAGGCTCCCTATTCGTCAGCCGATAGCGCCTCGCGCCGGCAGCGCCACGTCCGGCAGAAGTTACGCATGTTGTAAAGAAGTCTATACAAGTACAGGTTGTTACCGATCTCAAAGTAACGGGACCTAAGAACGTAGCTCCTTTTGTTTCTTAGGTCCGACGATCGACTAAGGCATACGAATCCCCAGAATCCATAGGCCGCGCCGCAAGCCCTATAAACATCTGTAACTGTGGGTAACTCCCTACATCCGCAAAGACCCCCGGTCTGTCTTGTTGCAGTGGCAACAAGAGCCCGCGGACACATCGACAAAAGACAGCAACTACGCCCTCAACTACGCTGACCGTTTCAACACCAACCCTAGTCCTAACAGTAGCATCGCCCCCACGAAAGCCATTGCCGCCACCGCCAGCAGCACTGCCGGCAAGGGTATATTTCGCATGCCGTACCATGACTGCGTGGTCAACACCACCCGCTTGGCACCACCCCAGCCGTACGTGTTGTAGCGGTTCGCCACCTGCAATTGTACGACGCATCCTGCAGGCAGCTCTCGGTGTACGACGCCATATAACTTCAGCGTGGTCGGTCTGGGGGAATAGGACAGCAGTAGCAGCAACCAAGCAGTCGGAAGGGAGCTGGGTGGAGGGCGGGCGGGGTGGGAAGGGAAGGGAAGGGATTAGACGGGGGTGGCGTGCTGCGTACAACAAGCGGCAGTGCCAAACCACGTCGTCGCTACCCGCGCTCGTGACTATACAGCTGCCAAGTTTGGGGCAGCAGGGGGCTCAGCGGTGCGCCCCCGCAGTCGATCGCCCTGTTCCTGACCCACATCCGCTTCGCACTGCAGCCTCGGACGCCTCGAAGCGCTCCTCAGAGCCAACGCCGCGACCGCCGCACCACAGCCAGTAACAGGTAACACCAATATCCCCTTGCTCCGCCCTTTCCTCGAGCATACTTTCTATCCCTCACCGCCTACCCACCACCCTAGACCCTACCCATCCACGCTGGCCCCAGTCGCCAGTCGTCTAACCGCCCAACCCAGAGTGCTGAACCCCGCCAAACCCCATACACCCCCTTTCAGCCCTCGCCTGGCACCATAAGTCCATAACCCAGCCCCACCCCCACTCCTACCTCCCCCGCCCCCGCATTGGATATTCTTCTTTCCCCCCGGCACCCATGCATCCAATGTTAACCACGGCCACCCACCCACCCACCCACCGAGCACTCGGACGCATCCAAGCCTGAAAGTGCGCTGCACGGCCCACGGGCGCTTGCAACGTGCCCCCCGTCCGCGTCACCGGGTCGGCGTTGAAGTTGCTGGCGTTATACGTGCCGTACAAGTGTCGTACCTCCAACGGCCAGATGATTGCCTGCTCGTCCACCGGTAACGGTTCTAACGACCACCCTCCGGATGGCTGCTGCTGCTGCTGCTGTTGCTGCTGCTGTTGCGGTGGTGGTGGTGGCGATGACGGTGGTGGCACAACGGACGATGATGGCGGTTGCTGCAGCACTCGTCTTCGGCTTCCCGCAGCGGCCGCACTTGGACTGCTAGCGCTTGCCACTCGTTGTTGGGCTCGCGGCGCTGCTGCTGCTGCTGCCTGGGGCCCAGCAGCGGAGGCGCCTGACCCTGTCCGACCATTACCCCCGCATGTGCCCGGGTCCAGGAAGAGAGTGAAGGAGTCGTTGAAGAGGGAGGTGGCGCGCAGGCCGCAGGGGTTGATGAGGCCGGCTGCAGGGAGGGAGGCGTTTGGGATGCGGCCTCGGAACAGCCGCGGCAGGCACCTGGGCGGGCGGGGCGGGGCGGGGGGCGGGGTAAGATATAAAGAGACACTGATGACGCAACGACTGGGGCGGGGCGGGGAGTAAAAAAAAGGAAAACTGACGAAGTGGGTGACGAGGCTTTACCATGGGGGGGGCAGGGGGAGGGGCACACACGTGGGTGGGTGGGTGGGTGGGGGAGAGAGGAAGGAATGAAGACAAGTCAGACAACCGGATTCAACCGTACGTGTGGAGGGCTGTGGGGCTGGCGGTGAGGGTTCTGGTGGAGGATGCAATGGGCGAGGATTTTGCCAGGGGGCTCAGGCGAGGGAGACAAGGGGAGCATGTAGCAAGTGAAGTGGGTAGCTTGGCCCAGCTACCGGCCAGCGGAGGAAACCAGAGAAAGGATCGCAGAAAAAGTGAACGGGGTGGGTCTTCCTATCCGGCAAGCGTGCATCTGCTTCTCCACCGCCCCGCTTCCCCACCCCCACCCCCACCCCACCTGTCCAGCTGCTGCGGCCCCAGCTGCTGCTTCCCCGCCAGCTGCTCCCGGCTCACGCTCCGAACGTAGCGCTTGTGGGTCGCGTAGAAGCCGCTCAGCTCGTAAAGCAGGTAGACGGGCGGCCGCATGACCCGTGGGACGGTCGCGGTGAGCGAGTGCTGCAGCCCGCTGTCGCCGGCGGCCCACAGCGCCCGCTGACGCTCTAGCCTGTGGAGAGGCGGCGACGGTTGGGAAGGGGAAGCGGCGGCGGTTGGGAAGGGGCAAGTGGCAGAGCTTGCGTTTGAAAGGGACAAACCCCGCGGTTTGTCCGCGCTACCCTACCTCTTGCCGCCGTGACGTGCCCGCCACGTGTTCTTCCCCTCACCACTCCCTCGCCCGAACCCCACCCCACCCAGCTTCGCCCCTACCACTAGTGCTCACACGTGAAGCCCCTACCCACCTTCACAGCCCCATACACATGTCCGACACGGCTGCCCCCCCTCCTGCAATACCCTCCTCCACCCCGGCCCCAAGCGCCCCTCCTCACCTGCTACCTCAACCCCCCACCTCTCTAACCTCCCTCTCCCCCACCTGCTCATGTCCGCTCCTCCTCCCCCGCCTCCCGCCGCCGCCCCCATACCGTCATCGTACCGCACCCGTACCTCCCCCACCCGCAGCGACGCCACCAGCAGCGGCACCCCCAGCCCCAGCCCCAGCCCCAGAAGCACCCCCAGCACCGCCAGCGCCCCAACCAGGCTGGGCTGCGGCCGGAACACGTCGTACGACTGCTCGCGGAAGCGACGGAGGGCGCCGCCGCGGGGATCCGAGCCAGGGGTGCCGCCGCCGCCACCGCCGCCACCGCCGCCGCCACCGCGGCTGTCAGGGGGTTCCTTGTCCTCGCCGGGGTTGTGGTGTTGTGGGGCGTGGCGATGGGGTGCATGCGGGGGCTTCCGCCGGGCGCTGCTGTCGGCATTTCGGACGTCATGATAGGTAGTGACATACTGGACATCTTGAGGTCGGGCGCGGGAGGGGCTGCTGTGGGGCGTGGGGTTGGACCCGGTAGCGGTGGGCGGTGGGGACGGGGGTTGCACGGAAGGCCCAGGATGGGACATTCCTGGCGCTCTGGTGGCGCGCGGTGGATGCGGCGGCGGCGCTCTGGTGACAGCTTGGTTTGCGTTTTGCGTAGGAAGGAAGGGTATGCGAAGGCTGGAAGGCCGGTTGTGAAGAGACACGAAAGGGTAGTGCTTTTGGGCGAAAGCGGCACCGTATTTGAAGGCTGGTTTATGATATCGATGCAAAAAGCAACGTGTATTTAATAGTGTATTTTGCTAGCAACTTCGATGACGCAAGGAGCGAAGCCAACGCCAGGCGAAGAGATAACAAAGTCGCAAGCGCGTAATGAAGCGCAGCGGTGCGCTTAGGCTAAATGTGGGCTAGATGAACGCCCATGCAAGCGCTTAAAAGTCTTGGAAAAGAACCGGTTGACCCACGGGTCATAAGAGAAACGTCTTTACCTTTGTCGCCTCATTACGCGCAGCGGTGCGCTTAGGCTAAATGTGGGCTAGATGAACGCCCATGCAAGCGCTTAAAAGTCTTGGAAAAGAACCGGTTGACCCACGGGTCATAAGAGAAACGTCTTTACCTTTGTCGCTGTTAGACATCGCTTTCAGGCACAGCTTAGGGCATAGCTGGTTGATATGATGCTATTGGACTAGTATATCGGTGACAGTCATTGTCAGGATGAGACTGGCGACGCCATACGGTATACGTAATGACATTATGGCCCTGCCGTACAATGTCCGAATGGGCTGGCATGGCCCGATTGAGGCCCTGAGACCACGACGTGACAAACCCACTACCACACCGGAAGGTTAAAACACCTTTTAGGATTGTCTGTCTGGTCACAGCTGTGAGGTTAATAATTTATCTACTAAGCGTGATCGCCCTTTCTGACAACCAACACGCTAGGGCCACGCCCGCAACCTGTGTCATTTGGACGACCGAAACGTACAGGTGTGTTTACAAATTGTTGTTTAGACCGTCGAGGCAGACGCAGGGTTACCTTTGTTGTCCGTTTGTGGGCCGTTCTCAGTTCCCGCCCAGCCGTCAGGAGCACCTTCGGACACCTTGTCTAGCCTTGTTTAGCCTTCAGGCCTTTGCTTTGAGTTTCTCGTAAATCATATGACCGTCTCCCTCAGAACCACTATCCCGCGTGTTTACCGACGTTTGCTATCGTAGTTGTCGTGGCGTGACAGCGCAATCCTGGCAATCCTTTCCGTTACAGCGCTGCTACTAACGGCACTCCTTTAGGCTGACCTTCCTGACCTTTTTGCTGCTAACCCAGATTACGCCGATTGTCTTCTTACTTCATCCCCGAAGTCACCTGCTGGACTGCTAGCTCTAGGAAGAGCGAACGGCAAGCAATAACAGCCACCAGGAGACAACAACAA